AATTCATGCTTCACCCTCCCCCCACCAACAACTACCCTCCCTCCACCCTCCAGTCAGATCACATGTATTTTAGGAAGTTCATGGGGCACCGCACGCTCCTGACAATACTCTCGCGGCCAGAGGTCCTCACTACGGGACCAAAAGGAGGGAGGTCCTCACACAGACACAGGCCCACAGCGCGCGGTCTTGTTCACACCTCCCACGGCGCTATCACAGATCACCATGGGAGGAGCCAGGGCAAGCAAGAGAGAGCCACAGGGGGAGGCGAGCTAGTCCCCGCACAAGGCTTAGTTAGTAAGCACAAGGGGGGTCCTGTCAACGTGCAAAACGCGTTGATACAGATGTGAAGAAAAGAGGACTTTTGTATCGATCGTGCAAAATCTCCCCCGTCTACTAAGATCTTGTTTCGATTATCTCCATCATGATAAACCACCTTGTGTGTGTGTGTGTGCACACACACAACCACCTTTCGATCGATTGCTCATTCCTGATCGATTGCTCCCTCCCTCAACCTTCTCCGCGCTTGTTCTTCGCTCACGCTTGATAACTGCACTTTACTGTCCATGTCACCCGAGGCGGCGATGGGAGGGCCCGCCGACACACACACACACACACACACACACACACACACACACACACACACACACACACACACACACACACACACACACACACACACACACACACACACACACATACCCGCCGCCAGTTAGCCTGCCCTGCCTGTTAGGAGCCCGAACCCTCCCTCGCATGGCCTCAGAGTGCTTCGTCGGCGTAAAGCCCTTCGAGCGAGCGCTTGTCAAGCTGCTCTCGTCAGACGGCGTCCCACTCCCTCGGTGCTCCGCTCACCCGCTTCTATCCGACGAGCCGCCGGCGCCGGCGCTGACTTGGGAGCGGCTGCACTCGGAGGTGCACCCGGCCGGCACCGCGGCGGGCGGCGCGCTGCCCGCCTCGCGCGTACAGCGGAAGTGCTGGCAGATTGAGTCGCTCGCCTCGCTAGCTGCGGTGCTCGTCGAGGGCCTGGCAGAAGCGGGCGCCTCGCCTGCCACCGCCGCCGCTGCCGCCGACTCTGTCGAAACTAGTGAGGCTAGAGCCGCCGCAGTTGAGCCTGCTGCGAGTGCTACGGGCTCTACTGCTGCCACTGCCACTTCTCCTGCCGCCACTGCCACCGCTGCAAACCGTGCCACCGCTGCCACCGCTGCCATCGCTGCCTCCGCTGCTACTATCTCGGCCGACGTCGCTGCCGGTGGGAGGAGATGGCACCTCGTCGACTTCGCCGGCGGCTGCGGCCCGCTTGGCTTGCCTCTGGCGGCGATGCTGCCGCACTGCACAGTGACCATCGTCGAGCTCAAGGCGAGGTCGCTCGAGATTGCGCGCGGCCGCGCGGCGGCGGCCGGCCTGACGAACGTCCGCTTCGTGTGCGGCGACCTCGGCGCGTTTCACGAGCCGTTCGACGTCGGCCTCGCCCTCCATGCCTGCGGCACCGCCTCCGACCTCGTGCTGCGCGCGTGCGTCGCCGCTCGCGCTTGCTTTGTCGTCTGCCCGTGCTGCACCGGCGCGCTGAGCTGGCCCGAGATTGCCCGAGATTGACCGAGATTGGCCGAGATTGACCGAGATTGGCCGAACTGCACCGGCACGCCGAGATTGCCCGAGATTGCCCGAGACTGCCCGAGATTGCCTTGCGATTGCCCGAGCTGCACCGGCGCGAACTTTCCCGCAGGCAAGCTGAGCGCGGCGCGGCGCGACGTGTACCGCTTCGGCGCCGCCGGCAGCAACGAGGCGCGCACACCCACTCTTTGGGGAGTGGCGGGAAGAGTGGTTGTTGGTTCATTGGGAGTGGCGAGGGAGCGGTTGTTAATTAATGGCTGGCTGACGCCGGCGGCAGCGCGCGGGTGGCCTGGCCAGGGTGGCCTGTCCCCTTGCCTTGCTCTTCAACAGCTCGCTCGCTCCTCTCTAGTGCTCCTCTCTAGTGCTCCTCTCTAGTGCTCCTCTCTAGCGCTCCTCTCTAGTGCTCCTCTCTAGCGCTCCTCTCTAGTGCTCCTCTCTACTGTAGTGCTCTCTCTGGTGCTCCTCTCTAGTGCTCCTCTCTAGTGCTCCTCTCTAGTGCTCCTCTCTAGTGCTCCTCTCTAGCGCTCCTCTCTACTGTAGTGCTCTCTCTGGTGCTCCTCTCT